GCTCTGATTATAATCATAGGCCAGGCAAGTAGGCTGGCCAGCTCCTGCGCTTCACACAGTGTAAGATCCTGCCTTGATTGTTTAATGTCTACGTACTGTCAGCTCCAAGAAATGGACGAAGACGTTCTACTGCAACGAGATTATGGCTTTACTATGGAAATCAATCAGCGCATAGATAAACTCCTTCATTGTCACTCTTAGACTGCACATCACCACAGCTACAGCAAAATCTATTCAGTATTTTTTCAGTATTCGGTAATCTTACTCAGTGTTCTCCGATTTCTCTCGTGTTGTAACCTCTTGTCGTTCACTCTGTTATAGTTGTGAAGGATGATCTGCTGCTCGAGGTCCTTCTGGCTCAACGTCTTGACGTGGCCGTTTTCCCCAGAGGCCCAAACCTGCTCTGAAATCAGGAGCTGAACACTACCCCGTCAAGACAGCTGACACATACGGATGTCACTGTCAATTCGCAGTATATGTAGTAGTGCATAGTGCGGTATGAACGGCAAAAGGTTATTGGTGAATGCTCATCTCGGTTGTTGATCCCCGGATTCTAAAGGAGTTCAGAGCACCTCTGATGCTTTTCTTGCCGAAGTCTCCTCTTCCTGCGCTAGTACTGTGCGCTTGGTTTCGATATTCTTGTCATACTGATCCTCTATTTTATTTCTGTCAACGCCGTCGTCGTAAGCCGCCCTCGCCTCATGGCGACAAAGCGTTTTGTTACTCGTGTACATAATGGTTTCTCTGTTTCTTCGTCTTTTGTAGGTGTCTTCTGTTTCTTGTATGTGCGGGCTTCTATTTAGTAAATCACGACCAATTCTACGCAGTCACCAACTCTGCCATTTGGACAGATGAAACAATCTGTTGATATGCACCGTTTGTCGAGAGTCTGCTTCGAACTGATGGTTGTTCGATGTTGTTGTTAGAGACAGCTAACTGGACAACATCTTTCAAGTGTGCTCGAGAAATTCTCCGCGGTATTGCAGTGCTTGTCGTACTGGAGATGAAATGGAGACGGAGGCAATTTGTTTTGGCGCGTAGATTTCCCCATTTCATTGTACGGGCGCTGTCTGCCATAACAATGTAGTACAATATAGCCGCACTTACCAGGGAAGTCCGCCAACTTACCATGGAACTTTGAATGGAGACCTGGGTAGATCGATAGAGTCTATAAGGTTATTTAATAGATAGCAAAACTGCAACCTGCATTTCACAAGCAACTTATGAGCAGGTAAAGTTTGTAATGGTGCAGTAGGGTGGAGGCTTGGTGGTGAGCTGTGAAGCATAAGCGAGGAATCGCATACGTCGAAGTGGTGGTTCAGTGGTAAGGTTCGACGTTCGACGACTCGATTCGACGTATGCGATTCCTCGCTTATGCTTCACAGCTCACCACCAAGCCTCCACCCTACTGCACCATTACAAACTTTACCTGCTCATAAGTTGCTTGTGAAATGCAGGTTGCAGTTTTGCTATCTATATTTGTAAATAACCTTATAGACTCTATCGATCTACCCAGGTCTCCATTCAAAGTTCCATGGTAAGTTGGCGTACTTCCTTGGTTAGCGGCTATCTTACAAGCTAATAGGTGTCATGATTCTTGACGTTAAATTTTGCCTGTACACATTTGCTGTTCTCAGCATGCTGTTAACCACAGCACTACGACCACTGTGGATGGGCTGACAGCGTGAAGCAGCATATTCTCGAATTGGCCTTACGATACCTTTTCACACCAACTGTGCCACAGAAAGCCTCCTCTTCCGCATTGAGATAAGGGAGCCAACCGTCGTGTGGTGCTACACACGTCAGTTCGAGTGCGCCATTATCCAAAAACACTCGCCCATTTCCTGCTGTCGAGAACAGGCAGTTCCATTGAGATATTACGTGTCTTCTGACAAATCAGGACTAGGTAGTAAGCACTGTGATCAAATTTCATTCAGTCATTGCTCATTTCCACTTGACAGTGGAGCTCAGATACGAGCAGACTCACGCAGCAATTGTCCGAAATGTGCACAGGCATGCTAGCAGTATACATATTAGTTGGACGCCGGACAGTGTTTATGTTGTCGAGGAATGCTTAACCGGCACTTTCCGCTATCATAAATTGAGGCCTATGACTGTTCAACATGTGTCAGACGGATCGACAGAAGGAGACTTCGCGTGAGGCTGCGCTATCTTGTACAAAGTGAAAATCGGTTCGGAATTTCCGCTTAAACTAACCAATTAGCCATTGACGCCCTTAGGCCCCTGCCGACCCCCCAACCGGCTGCTAGCTACTACTATACCACTAATACTTATGTCTATCACATTCGAATGGTGGAGAGTGAGGAGAGTAGCCGTCATCAAGAGAGCTGATAGTCTTTATGAATAGTTCGGAAATTCGTACAAACATGCGTTTTCTTCATTGCATGCATCTACAAGTTGGAGTCGATATGGAATCCTATTTAGGGCATTTTCGGCTGTTTTTCTGCTGCTTTTCTCCGCTAATCAGATACCCTTTAGCCCTTTTTCGTTTCTTAAGTGGTCGCCGTTATCCTCCGAATCTGTGGTCGCAGGGCTTTGCCTTAAGGTGAACATTTCCAAGGGGAAGATGCTTCTCACTAGTCAAAAGCTTCTTTATGAGTCAACGACTATCACCTATTCTTGCTGTTTTCTTCAGGCTAGGATTGAAGAATGAGAGCTAGAACGTCATCGCAATAATGTACCTGCACATACCTCGATGGGCTGCTCTCTTATAAAAAAAAAAAAAAAAAAAACAATGAAAAACAAAAATGCACGTGAGAGGAACGCAAGTTTCCGGAAAAATCAGATGAAAGTCGGTTTGCAGTACATAATCTCACCCTGAGAGCCCCACAGTAAAGGCGGTGACTCTCACATTATCTCTATATGTCCGGTAGCACTGGTCAGTGTGAAGTGGTGTCCTGAGGTCCGGATCGATTGGAAATTCCTTGCTGTCATGGGTAGGCCAGCTGCACCTGCAACTCACAAGTATTCAAATGCGCGTACTTAAGCAACCATGTTGTAAACAGCAACTCATATCTGCACAGATGAAGTTGAACTTCAAGCATGACAGTACTTAGATTGTGAGATAGTTGCTAAGAATGGCTATGTGACATCGTCATGATGAACAGCGCACTAAAATGAGAGGATGGCCGTGCCGAAACATCATCTCTGTTTCTTCTTCTCATCAAGGATACGCGATGCGCACTGTGGGCATTAGGGACGAGATTTTGGTTGAGTCGGCCAACAAGGTCATTTAAGCTACTAGGCTAGCATGTAGCGGGGTATTCATTGATAGTTCTTGAAACCGCTGTAAGCGCTTGTAAAGAAGACGACGTCACGTCGAGAAGGTAGGCCGAAAGTATTGAATGGAATGTTCCACCTGGAAACCTCGCATGAAGGACATCTTCTTCAACTGATTCAAGGTTTTTCCCGCAGATTTGTTTCTTTCTTCTAATTCGCTATTGAACTAGCTGCAATTAGAATTTCATCGCAACCTATAATCACAACTTGCAAGTGTGGAATACGCCTGTGGCGCTTGTTATTGGTTACAAGATGTAATTGTTTGCAGGACCGTCTCGAATGTACGAGCACGCTTCTCGAAGAATACCATGAGTATCTCAAGTCGAATACACCAGAAGACTGTCCGGTAACATTAGACAGTGTTAGAAAGGCATATGACTCGTATGTGCCGGTAGCCATGGTCACCTCTGTACTTTTCAAAGGTCATACTGAAATTATTTTCGAGTCCCTGACGGCATTTTTCTTCTAAACCACATTCTCTTTTAGGTGGTTTCTATGAAGAACAAAGAGGACATAGAGCCCCTCATCGACCGAGCAAAGGGACTTATTGAAAACGTTTATACTATGACAAAGTTACTGGAGAAATGAATGTATATTATACTTATTTATAAGAGGCTAATAAATATTTTTATTTCTTCTCCTCTAGTTCTACTATTGTAGGTGCGTCTTATTTCCCCACAGTGTCGCGATCCGAGCGCAGCTCTTAATGTTGGCTGCTCGACTATATAGTCAGGATAACTAGAATTGAGACTTCCTTCTCTCCTAAACCGACTAGTGTGCTAATCTTCACATCTGCACGTCACATGATCGTCACTCGCGACTGCCATCACCTCTGTAATACACCATGCATGTTGCTCTCGCGCAGAATTATTGGGGAGCTGCAAGTTCTTGATAGAGCTTTCTCCGTCACCGAATGTGCCTCCTGCGATTCACAAAGTTTCCGGAAGTGTTGTTTTCATTCGTGTTTATCAATTTATGGCGTCGTTTGTGAGCGGCTCCTGTTATCACCCATTCCCCACTTCTCCGTTGGCAGGTTGCTTCTGTCTTCAAGTATCTGTTCAAGGTTCTTCACATGAATAAGTTTCATCATTGAAGCTGAGCGACATTTCGGAGTATCGCTGAACTCCCCGCGTCAGGAAGGGCCTGGCGCTTATGAGATACATTTCCGCCTTCCGCTCTCCGGGGTCAAATACGTAAGCCGCCTGTTCCTCGTGATATCTTAGCGATGGCGTGTCCTTCTCAGAGGTGCAAAGCGATTATATTAGGATGGCACGGAGGTCCCGTCATTCTTTTTTGGGCCAAAATACCTGCTAATACTCAAAAAGGGGTGATCGATAAGAGCATCCCACTATATATAATCGGCCTATGTCCGTGCGTTTGTGTAATGTGGGGTGGTGTGTCTGTCTGTTTTCACGAAATTCATCAGAGCCTGAAGAAGAACTCGAGGTCGGGTCATCGGTTGGGATAGTGTAGAGTATGGGTTAAGACCTTAATATAATCAGCACCCATGGCCATGATAAGGCCGCGTCACGTGGGAAACTGTGTCACTGGAAAAAAGTCAAAACTCAGTTCCAGAGTGCAGTTCCCAGATGAGGGAACAGTGCAGTAAAGTTAACAAAGAGCTGACGCACCAAATGGAGGACACGCACTTAGACGGGAGGGGAGTACTTGAATGAGCGGCGCTTCCCGTGTCACTTGAAAAAAAGCCATAATTTGTCTACGAAGAACCTCGGAACGGAAAAAGTGGAATAAGGTCAACATTGGGTTGGCAGAGCAAATGGAGGAGACTTATAAAATGTGCGGGGTGTACGTGAGATAGCGGTGCTTCCCACAAAGGTCGGTAACTCGGTTTCCGAAATAGATCAGAGATCGCAGAAAGTCCATGACGAAAACGAACACCTGGCAAGAGTCCACCATGTTTGTGGGCTTTGCTGTGGCGCGCCCCACAGTGGCGGGGCGTGCAATTTGGAGCAAGAGAACGCAGTTTTAAGGACTCGCTAGTTCGGTCCAAGCACTACAGACGGCGCTCAGAAAATGTATTAGCTCCCCAAAGTGATAAAATGTCAGAATGTGCGATTCGTGGGCGGGAGCGTGCACCGAGGTGGGTGGTAAGTTTGAAAAGTTCGTAAAAATGGTTCTATAAGCACTCCAGACACCAAAAAAAGTGGTCTTAAGATCAGCGGATGGTCATCGGTCAGACGAGCGCGAGGCCATATGTGTGGGCAGGACGCGGGCGGGCCAGGTGGGCGAGCCGTCTTAAGAACTCTTCAAGCGGTTCCAGAGCACTCCAGGCCTCTGTGATACGGCCGGCCTTACGAGACTTGGCTCTATCGCGCCTGCTTGCATTTCTATGATCAAATGCTCGCCTAATACCTGCGCCTTTCTCATCATCCACTTGAGCAACGCTCCTTACACCATTCCATACACCGTAATAGGGTTGAAAATGGCAGGTATGATGCGGAATATGAACATACTATTAGTCATTAGAATTAGAATGTTGACCATCTGCTTAAATATTGGGTTGGCACATAAGTACTTTCGTTTTTTTTCAACCGGAAATTTCGTTCCAAAGATGAAATGTTTTGCTAGCAAGCTTGATATCATCTGATAGGAAACTTCACGTAGTTTTAGAATATCAAAACGGCTTCGGTTGAGGGAATAATTTTTGTGGATTTTTTAGTCGTTGAAGTTGAAAGCGAAGTCGGCGAAAATTAGCACCTTCGACAACTGCCTCTATTTACGTATAGTCGAAGTGCTAAAATCGCTTAAGCTGCTCCATACATTTGGAAAAGGTCGAGCTAGAAGTTCCAGCAAGGGAATCTCACTAGGACGCTTTGGAACGAATTTCAAGAATTTTGAAGTTACCAACCTTCACCTCGCCGATATTGGGCAGCTCACGTCTGTTCCACCTGAATTTTATGCTAATATTTTGAACGTCTTTTTGTCCGCCTCGATATTTTTTGCATGTTCTGATAGCAAATTTCGTGCTCTATAACACTGCTATAGAAATCTGTTCTCCAGAGGTGTTTGCTTTCTGTTAAGTTCAGGTTATCATTACGGAACGCGAAGTCGTTGAGAACTAGCGTTCCCGTTCTCCACGAATTTTATGCTAACATTTGAATGTTTCGCTAATGTGTTCTATATGTTCTGATAGCCAATTTCGTGCTCTATAACATGACATAAAAATCAGTTCTCCGGAGCTGTTTACTTTCTGTTAAGTTCAGGTTATCTTTACGGAACGTGAGGTCGATGAGAATTAGAGTTCCCGACTTCCTCTCTCAACCGCTGTCCACTGAAGCTTCAAAGCTCCTAGAGCAGCTCAATAGAATCGCCATGGTTTGAGTAAGGCTTAGAGTGACAGATTAGTGTTAGGACAGCTCTTAGCGAATTTCCGAGCAGCAATCAGCAGCTCTGGTACCTCTGTTGAATGCGAAAAGGAGGAGATGTCTAAAGGGCTGATGCGTAATTGACCCTCCATTCCCTACTATTGCACGCTGAAAAACAAGGCATCAAACGGATTTTTAAAATAACTGCAATGCAGTGTTATAGAGCACGAAATTGGCTATCAGAACATATAGAACACATTAGCGAAACATTCAAATGTTAGCATAAAATTCGTGGAGAACGGGAACGCTAGTTCTCAACGACTTCGCGTTCCGTAATGATAACCTGAACTTAACAGAAAGCAAACACCTCTGGAGAATAGATTTTTTATAGCAGTGTTATAGAGCACGAAATTTGCTATCAGAACATGCAAAACATATCAGCGAAACATTCAAATATTAGCATAAAATTTCAGGTGGAACAGACGTGAGCTGCCCAATATCGGCGAGGTGAAGGTTGGTAACTTCAAAATTCTTGAAATTCGTTCCAAAGCGTCCTAGTGAGATTCCCTTGCTGGAACTTCTAGCTCGACCTTTTTTAAATGTATGGAGCAGCTTAAGCGATTTTAGCACTTCGACTATACGTAAATAGAGGCAGTTGTCGAAGGTGCTAATTTTCGCCGACTTCGCTTTCAACTTCAACGACTAAAAAATCCACAAAAATTATTCCCTCAACCGAAGCCGTTTTGATATTCTAAAACTACGTGAAGTTTCCTATCAGAC